TATCTATACGACAATTTATTTCGTATGAATGATCCCAGTTATCTATCAATAATTGTCCAAAATAAGAAATTTTATGTACTCTATCTAAGGACACATTGTTAAGTCTAAGCACACTTATCGTGCTTTATTCCTGATCGATTGTCATATTATGGTGTTTTGGGAATTTAAATGTACGTCTAAATTTTCACTGACTGTTACTACTCTGTCCAATATCTTTTGTAGGTCTTCGATGCTGCCAGCTATCAACACGGTATCATCTGCATATCTCGAGTTGTTTATAATTTTACCGTTTAAAACAATGCCCTCCTCTGCCTCTTTCAAGGTCACCGGCATTATTTCTTCCGAATATATATTGAAAAGCAATGGTGAAAGGATACACCCTTGTCGAACTCCATTTCGAATTTTAAAGTCATTAGAAGTCATTTATTCTAATATTAGCTTGCTGATGCCAATACAAATTCGTTATGAATTAGATCTTTTCCATCTATACCATTTTTTCGCAAAACTTCAAACAGTCATTCATGTCTTACCATGTCAAAAGCTTTCTCGAAATCGATGAAGCACAAATAAATCTTTTGGTTGATATCTTTGCATCGTTTAACTAGTATTTGAATGCTAAATAAAGCCTCCCTAGTTTCATGACCATTACGTAAGCCAAATTGTTCTTGACTCATATATTCTTCCGCTTTTTTGTACATTCTGTTGTGCATAATTTTTAAAAATGATTTTAGTGTATGGCTCATAAGACTAATTGTTCTATATTCATTACACTTCTTTGCATTTGCCTTTTTGGGTATTGCAACAAATTTGGAGTGTAGACAATCATTTGGTATGTAGCCTGTATCGTAGATAGCATTAAACAACTCTGTTAAGCGCGTTATGCAGATGGAATTGGTCAAGTAATTCTTCAGTAAATCTGTTGGTAATTTATCTGAGCCCTCTGCTTTCCTGTTTTTTGAGTTGCTTATGGCTTCCTGAATTTCAATCACCAATATTGGCCGTCCGCTATCGTTAAACGTTATTTCGTGTATTTCTTGCCGCACGTCGTGGAAAAGTTCGTTTTCTAAGTATTGTTGCCACCTCTCCCCAAGGTCGTTATTAAATTCCCTTCCATATCTATTAAGATGCTTTCTTGTGCTTTTGATACCATTCTGGCTGTTTCTTTAATTTTTTTATAAACATTGAAACTATCACTTACTCTCATATAACTTTCTATTTCTTTGCATTCATTTGCGAAGTGTTCTTCCTTTACAAGCCGTATTTCTCTTTTTATTTGTCTATGAATTTGTTTATATTGTTGATCATTTACATTTTCATATTTTCTTCTTTCATTCATTAAGTTCAGAATCTTGTCAGTAATCCATCGCTTTTTCTTGATGCTTATATTCTGTCCCAATTCACTTTTAGCTATTTCTATAATGAACTTTTTAAGTGATAGCCATGTTTTTTCAACATTGACTTCCAATTTTCCGTTTACTGTATTAATTTGTAACTATTCTATTTTATTTTCAATATCTGTCATTAATTCTTCTTGTATTTTTCCATCTGTCAAGGTTTCTAAGTTAGGTTTAATTTTTCGAGTAGGTTATTTTATCTTTTCAAGTCTAATCTTGAGTTTCACTAGTAATAAATTATGATCTAAAGGAGCATCTGCTCCTGGATATGTTTTGGCTGTTTAGATTGCATTCTTATATCTGTTGTTAATTAAAATATAATCTATTTGATTCCGCACCACATGCATTTTCATGCCATTAGGAGATTTCCAAGTGTATAATCGTCTTTTGGGGAATTTAAAACAAGTATTAATTTCTTTTCTTTTCTATATAAAACTGAATCAGTTTTTCTCCGCGATCATTTCTTACAACCCAAGCTCTCCGACTACGCCTGGAATTTTGCCTTCCCTAATTTTAGTGTTAATGTCTCCCATGATTAGATTAGTGTCTCTATCTTTAGTAAATTTAAGTGCTTTAATACGGTCTTCGTAGAAATCTTCTATTAATTCCTCGTCACTTTCAGCAGTCGGGGCATAAGCTGCTATGATATTCATCTTATTTGAATTTGCTTCTAATTGTATTATTGATATTCTATCCGACATCAGTATGAATCCGCTTACGGCTTTGTTAATATCTTTATTCAGTATTATTCCAACACAGTTTATGTGTCTATTATCATCATCTTCTCCTCTATAATAAACTATGTGTTCATTTATTTGGCATTTACCCGACTTAGGCCATCTCATTTCTATTATAGTGAGATTAGAGATGTTAAGTCGAATCATCTCGTTAATTGTAATGTAAATTTTTCCGGCTTCAAACATACTTCTAATATTCCATGTACCGACTTTNATATACTTCTAATATTCCATGTACCGACTTTTGTTAAATTGCTGGTGTTGTGGAGATTTCGCTGGTTGACTACCGAGGAAGCTCCTCTTCTACTCCCACTGCCGAATCTGGGATTACATCATCCGTTATTATTAATGTTTTTATCTATATAACTGTTTGCTAACATGAATTTAACTAGAGATTTTCATGTAGTGGTTTCCCGTTGCTTTCTACATCGCGGTATTAATTCTAAGAAGCAATGTGAATAATCACGCCTAATCATCAATATTTGATTTACGCCATGACATTCTAGTGAAGTCGTCGTTGCCCAACCACACTCTCTATTTGGTCCACGGGTGTTTATTTGTTATTCACACCTATCCTATATATCTAATGGACATTTGTGATGGAGTTGAGATTCTCCTATCTACTGGAATTATCCTCCTGGAACTTTTCGCCAGTAGGAGCTCAGGGCCTCGGGTTCGTTATACCTGTAGTATAAAATACTTCCCTAAAATAAGTTACATAGAAATGATTATTATTAGAATTATTTATTATGATACAAATGCAAAAAAAAAAATAATAATAATAATAATTTAATGAAATATTAAGATTTTTTCATAAATTTACTGTAAATAGTAGTTATAAAATTTTCTAACTGTTATTAATCTTAACAATATCATTTTTTTAATTCTCATAAAATTTTCTATTTTACTATATCAATTTCAAACTTGGAAGTTGAGCTAATTTTAAGGTATTTTAAGGATAAGGGTGGCCTATCACAAGCAGTTGTGATTAAGATAAGGAAAAAGAAGAAGAAGACTATTAAAATATACCCTTATTTTATTTTGCTAATAATTAATATTTATGTTTTATATAAAGTTTATATTTTTAATATTATTTTTATAAAAGCATGATTACATTATTATTATTTAAAATTTACTTACCTTCACGAAATATGGATTCCAAGTTTAAAACTGCCATGAGTATTAAAAAAAATTTTCTCATAGAAAAGTAATATAGAAATTCATACATTTTTCAAAGGGTTATTGAAATATAAATGTAAAAAATGAAATATAAAATCGAGAATTTTTTCACAAAAATTGCATATTTTTGAATACGACAGTCATTTTTATCATGAAGACAAGTCCGGAAGTCAATTTTTTTTTTTTCATATTTTAGTACATTACATAAGCTTTAATTTAAGATATANTGAAGACAAGTCCGGAAGTCAATTTTTTTTTTTTCATATTTTAGTACATTACATAAGCTTTAATTTAAGATATATATAAATTCGATCACTTACAAAGTCACAAATATTTAGATCATTTGTTACTTGCATGTTGTACTATTATTATTATTATTACACATAATACTGTGTAATTTCAACTGTTTATTATTAAATAATATTTGGTTTTATACTTATATATATATAATAAGGGCATCAATAATGTTTTATTAAATGGCAACATGAATAATTTTATATTTGTGTTTGAAAAAAAATCTAATTAATAAAATGACCATTAAAAAAAATTATGAACCAGTATTTTAAAAGTTATTAGCTCTTTGAAGAATAGCCTGTATGAAAACAGTTTCAAGCCCTGCCAAAGAGAGGAGTGAGTTATGACTAGTTCCTTCTTTATGCATTTTTCGACATCGCTCATTTATCCACCAAACAAAATTATTTATAAATCATTATACTGTTCTTATAATGCTGATGTGACTATTGTTTAGATTAAAACCACCATATAAACAGATTTTTGGAAAAAAATAGTTATAATATAGGCTAAAAAATAAACTAACGATTTCTGGTAAGATTTTTAAGATACTGGATAATTGATTTAATTGTTTTATTGTGATAAATCAATAAAGGAGTTACGTCATATTTGTAAAATGTCGTAATATATTCGTCACTACCATAACATGGGATGTTTGTACATTATATTCTTAGAATGACATGATCTTTTCTAACAAAAAATTTAAATAAACATTTAAGAGAAATAGTCCACTCATGCTGTTTAGTTCTATTGTAGTGTACACGATTCGGTTATAAATCGGTTAGTGGTCACTTTTAAAATCCTTCCTTCTGAAAAGAAATCTATATACTATTTTTGTCATTTTTTTTTATTCTAATTATAATAATTTAATACATTGTATCAATCCTAATCTTAAGTGTTAAAAAGAATATGTTGATGTTACTATAAAATGTGAACATGATTTATATATTCTATTCATCAATGGTGGTCTCTGTATTTTATGCTTATTTATCAATAAACAATTATACTATAAGAATTCGACAATGATGATTTTTGGGCGTAAAAAATATTATAAAAAGGCAGAGCAAATCCTTGTTCGACGCTGTTCATTTCGTGCTCTGGATACGTAACGATACGTGGATATTGCGATCACCATTGTCGAAGTTCTTACGTATTTGATTTGTGAACTAAAACTTGAATTTGTGTTACTTTATTTATCATCTTATTAACATTATCACTGAAGTTATTATAACAACCGAAGAAAAATTATCAGGTAAGATTTTTTAAATCTATAGGAATATTTATATTGTCATTTTATAAGCCTCAAATCACACCCCGACTAGTTAACTCTGACATCTCTTTCAATCTTTTTCTTTTTATTATATTAATTTTTGAGTTACGACAAAAAGTAAGACTGATAATATACATTTTTTTTATTACAGTATATTTTTTAAATGTGATAATTTTTTTTACATGTTGATAATTATATATAATTAATTGATATTATAATGAACGCGGTTGTATAATATATTAATTTAAAAATTTCTTCTTGGAACACCATATTTTTCATCACCCTAAATATCAGCTACTTCTACTCTCAAAATGTATTAAAATAGTGAATCGTTACATTTTTAATGCGATTTAATCGAGATGGATTTAATGATTTGTTTATTAATGGTTCTGAAAATAATTATACATAATTTATATATAAATAATAATTAATAACTTGTAAATTATCAAATAATTAAATAGTGATCATTTAAAGTCAATTTTGAAGATAATATTTCGTTATATTATAAATTAATACGAGATTTTAGGCTATCGTGTGATACTTCACCAAAAAAATTCAAATGAAAATATTTTTTGTGCTTTTCTAATAAAAACTGTTGGTTAGTCGACAGCAATCTTAGTGAAACTTTTAAGGATTATAATGTTTTTAGGTGGTATAAAGAGTTGGTTGCGTTATGATAAAAAATGGATATATGTGTGGCTGTAGACCAAATTTGGTATGTTTAGGGATTTGGTCAATTTATGAGCAACGAGATTCCTATCGAGTTTATAGAGTCTGAGGTTTTAGAACAATAAAGGCAAGTAAATATAAAATAAATTATTAAAGTTCCTCTTATAAAGGTATTATACGCTGAGGTATTATTGTAGTAGCTAGAATATTAACCTTCTATCTAAAACCTAGTCATAGTAATGATCAAGCACGATTTGAATAAATTTGAAATGAAACGATTTGTATTTTAAAATGATCTATTGCTTTATCGTTCTTTGCCTAGATTATTATTTTTAAATAATTGATTAATGTAAATTGTCTTGTTATTATTTCAACATTTTCAGTGACATTTAAAAATTATCAGTGTCTATTTTCAATAATTGTATTTTAGACTTTCAAATTTTCGGAAAGATAAATAATTAAGTTTTAATCGCAGAAATGTAAATAAGCGTTGTAATATGTAATATGTACCATGGCAACACGGGGTCGCGGCTAGTTAAGAAAAATAAATTCAACAAGAAAATTCTGAATTCTAAATTCAATTCAGAGCTTTAAAAATGCTCTCTCTCTCTCTGAAAATCAGCCCTTTTTTATATTATTTTTAATTATCCTTATCTTGGGATATTGTCGTCAGCGCTTTTGGTGATTTTTTCGTTTTTTGTCTTAATTCTCAGTATCTTTCTTTCGAATGTCATTAGCAGTTTGCTGTTTCCTTTGGTCAATAATCATTTTTCAATCGTGCGTGTGATTATTGGTTGTAAATAGCTATGATACAGTAATTTCTTTGAATTATGTGACAGTAGTTTTGATTTAAGAAGTCTCATTATGTTATAGTAGCATTGATTGCTAACATTGATGCTTTTCGATCGTTGATTTTTCGTGCATGTCGTTGTTGCTATTTATGTTAACGCCTAGGTACTTAAATACTTCCACTTTTTTGAAACTATACTCATCTACTATTATGTGGTCTATGTTTGGGCTTCTGCTTTTCATTTCTGCAACGTTATCTGCCTACNTTCTCAGTATCTTTCTTTCGAATGTCATTAGCAGTTTGCTGTTTCCTTTGGTCAATAATCATTTTTCAATCGTGCGTGTGATTATTGGTTGTAAATAGCTATGATACAGTAATTTCTTTAAATTATGTGACAGTAGTTTTGATTTAAGAAGTCTCATTATGTTATAGTAGCATTGATTGCTAACATTGATGCTTTTCGATCGTTGATTTTTCGTGCATGTCGTTGTTGCTATTTATGTTAACGCCTAGGTACTTAAATACTTCCACTTTTTTGAAACTATACTCATCTACTATTATGTGGTCTATGTTTGGGCTTCTGCTTTTCATTTCTGCAACGTTATCTGCCTACGCCAATATACGCCAATTCCCACATATTTCCATTTTTCAACCGTCCCATATTTCTCTCGTTGCTTTTTCTAATGCTAGATTAATCAAAGTGGTTGATTAAGCATAATCTTGTCTAAGACTTCATTTTACCTCAAAAGTTTCAGAGATCTCTTGCAAAAAACGAACTCTGCATATAGTTCTATTGTTGCATACTTTTTTAAAACTTATGTACTTTTTAGGAATGCCTAGTACTTCCAGTGCCTCCCATAGTTTGTCCCTATCAATGTTTATTTCTAGTCTATAAATACATAGTGCAATTCCTTATAAAATTCATAAGACTTAGTCATTATCTGCTTTAGTGTAAATAAATGATCCAATATCTATTTACCTTTTCTAAACCGCTTTGATACTCCCCGACTATTTCATTAACATATAGGTTAATCCTTTTTAATAGTAATGATTTATATTATTTGTATCGTAATCTAAGAGAGATATACTTTTGTAATTCTTTGTTTTGACCGAGTCTTCCTTTTTAATATAAGGCTTATTACTGCAACATTCCAGTTTTTGAAAAAAGTTTCTGTATCCCATACACCTGAAATCATCTCCATAATTTTTCTTCTTGTTTCAGTATCATCTTTCTTTAGGAACTTTGTCGCTATATTGTTTCCTCCAGGTGCTTTATTATTCTTAAAATTGTTGATTATTTTGTCAATTTCTTCTTGCTTAGGTTTTTCTTTTTTCGGTTCTGTTGTATAGTAGTAGATAGTTTCGTCGTCTCCCTCTACTATTGGTTGGTTTAAGAACCTATTAAAGTATTCTTTGAAATGATTTACTATAACCTTCTCTTCCATAAATTGGTTTCCGAACTCATCTGATAGCNCATAATTTGGTTTCCGAACTCATCTGATAATATTCAAATATGTGATTTGACATCAACTTTGAAATTACCGCTTTCATTGGAAAATTTTCTAGTATGATATCTATTACTATCAATCTCCTTTATTTATTTCTTTTCATGTAATCGTTTTTTTCTCATTAAGATTTAGTTTGTCTAATCTGTTCTTTGAAAATATAAATATTTTCCTGTACTCACAGGAATATACTTTGCAATATCCTTTTTTTCAATTCTTTTGATTATGGCATTAATGCATAAATCATTAAACCAGTCTTATTTTTGCTGTTTATTTCTTATTCCCAAAACTTTATTCGTGTGTTTTATTTGTCTTCAAATATAACTGTTTTTAATAAAGCTATTTACACAAACGTTCATATCATTCGATTTTCTATATTAGTCTAGTCCTTTCTAGAATGTCGTAGATTTATACATACTTTCTACTTATTTTGATATTTTCTTACGTTTTTATATTATATCTTTCTCTGGTTCGATGTCATTTTCCATTTCACTGATAATCGTAATTTGAATTTTGTATAAAGTAGGTAGTGGTTGGTATGTGCATCGGCTTTTCTGTAATTTCTCACCTTTTGAATACAGCTACCATGCCTTTTATTGTTTTGTTATGTAGCATGTTAAATTAAAACAGTTTGTTAGACTACCAAAGAATTCTTTATGCATGGTAATAATTAGACCTATACCACGAAACTCACTCTATTTTCATGCTTTCCATTTTTTATAATTATCCACACAATTACTCACAGAATAAGAATAATTTACATGTTACATATTATTCATGAAATATTAGCTACTTTTTAAGAGCATCCCTTATGCCTGGTAAGGGTTTATAATTATCCTTTAACAACTACGAAAAACAAAATTTTGCATTGTCTACAAATTATTTCCTTATGAGTTTAGCCCAATGAATAATCAACGCTACGGTAAAACTATGCGTATAAAAATTTCGGATGAATTAAGCTTTTTGACAAATTACAAACAAGTATTTTTTTCATATAAATAATATTTAAATAGATAAATGGAATATCAATATTGACCGAAAATTTTGTTTTATACGTAGAAAGAAATTCCGAGTACTTGGCATCAAATTTCTTAAGTTCATCATATAATGATCACCCAAATACATAAAAAACAACCGGTTCATAAATAATACAAGTTAAAAACAGACCCACTTTTTACTCCTAGTCATTATATTTAAGTGATAAAAACTTCCAAAAATACTGGATAAAAAGTTGTTAACGACCAGTCATTTTTTCATTTGTAAGTTGTTTAAGCATATAATATATGCTTAATCAACATATTATGTTCTTATTTAAAATAAAAAGTTGATACAATTTTAAGGGTAAATGTATGATCCACTTTCTTCAATCTAATCACTTTATAAAGTTAATTTTTTCTTTGAAAACTATAAATCGTAGGATATTATAAAGTTTTAAAAAGAAAAAAATATATTACATTTTATATTTTTTAAGTCATTGCATGAGTAATAGTTAAACAAACTCTTAGTATTTTAGTACAGACCATCAGTACGAAAGACTTCAATGTTTTTGCTGCATATTGGGCACTTGGGTTGATAATACATTTTATTACTAATAAAATCAGCACAATCTACACCTATCTTGTGAAGACAAGGTTCCAAGACTACATGTCTAAGTTCTTCTCTGCATGGACATCTTTCTATTAACTCTACATGTTATAAAATAAAATAAATTAAAATATGTCAAACAATTGTTATATGTATGTAATAAGGAAACACCCAAAAAAATATTGACATTTATTTAATTAATTGGATTGTAATAAATAAATAGCGTGTTTATATGTATAGCTTTGTAAAAATTATAAATAAATATTATTCCGCTCTCTATTTCTAGGTTTATAATAAAATTGACTATCGCTATTATTTTGTGTATTCAACTGGAAGAATTCAATCTACACAACATTCTTTTCATTCGTTTAANCTGGAAGAATTCAATCTACACAACATTCTTTTCATTCGTTTAAATGTTTTTACTTTATTTTTAACATGTTTTAAACATTAAATTAATTTTTCCTATAACCATAATCAACCACATTAAAATTAATATTATTCAGTTTTTAATAATTTAAGATTGAATTTTATTAATTGAAATTAGACTAACATTGTTGATTTTAATTTAAATGAAATCTAAAACTATTTTTATTTTGTAAAGATAATTTAAAAATTGTTAAATTATTACCTATCTTATTAAAATATACTATTTGTTCTCTGCATAATGGACATTCAGAAATCTTCTGTATTATTAGCTCGTTAGCACAATCATTGCATATTTTATGATTGCAAGGAATTAATGTTACCTTTAATGATTTTTCTAAGGAACAAATACAGCATTCTTGTTCACTGTCTAATGTAAAAAATTAAAATAATTTAAATTATTAATTAATTGTCACAATACAAAACAAATTACAAAGGTAATATGAAGATGAATTTCGTACACGAATATGATGATAATGATGATGAAGTTGAGTGTGCGCAGATCGTACAGCAGTTCTGTATGCTCGGCTGACACTCCACAGTAACTGTGGATATCGCAAAGCTGTTGTTATAGGGAGAAAATAACTGGGTATCAGCAGACAATAACTTTTTAATAGTATAATAAAAACTTATATATGAATATATTAACTTATATATGAACTTATTTATTTAAAAACTCAACATGTTTTAGACAATGTTTCTATAATATTTTTTAATAATCTTAATTATACTACTACTTGTTTATTCATGTCAGTTACAAATACTTATTCAAATTTTAATAATTTTCATGGAAAAGAAATCGAGTACTGTTACTAGTAAATAACATA